ACACTTTCAATATCATACAGCACATTGATTCTTATCTCTTTTGTTTTCTCTCAGAAAAATTTGTATTCTATTATAGACGGTCTTGCTTTTTCTGTCCATATCTCGGTCTATTTGCCTTTCTTTCCCGCCCAATATCACAACATCCCCGCCCGTCCTTCCCCTGCTTCAGTGTCGCGAAAACTCGATCTCGGCAAATCTACGCGTCATCTCCCATGTTTTGGCGAGAGAAATAGTGGTTGACACATTGTCTGAACACAAGGCAGAGCGATGATTAGCTTCAGGGTGGAACAACACTCAGAATCGAGATACCGTCAACTTCATCTTTCCCGTGGAAACGACGATACCAGAGCTTTCGACGGCAATGCCGATAGCCAGTGAGAGCAGTACCACGACCACCACCATGACCACCTTCTCCGCTCCGGTCACCGTGCCCAAGTCGATGCCAAATAATCAATCTGCGTTGGCGGCATCCTTCACAAACTTTCTCACGGTGTCAATTCACCAAATCCTCTTTCTTCGTTCCGTCTACCCGCGAGCAACATTTTTACCGGTCCGGGCCTACAACTACCCAGTGCGACAATCCCGTCACCCCAAGGTGTGTGACTACATCAATGATGCGTCAATTGCGGTCGGGACGGAGATTTTGAAAGGCACTATTACCGCTGTCAGTATCATCATTTCATCTCTCCGCACAAATCAGCCCCTCGAACGATATGCATTTGATCTGTCGGGGTTCCCTCGTGTTTCCGCCGGAGATGTCAACACCACTTTTGAAGACAGAAAAGAAGATTCATCCAAGCCAGGTGTCCCCGTTGCTGATCGGGGGTCCGCTCCTACAACTGTCGATCTTGAAGCGCAGTTCCGTGCTTGTCTCGCGAGATTGGCCTCTGCTTGCGCCCGGTTGACCCCGTTACCTCGAGATGACGAGTTCAGCTTTACCGTCTGCATCGAAGTTCGGGAAGATGCCTTACCTCCGGCTGGTACCACAAAGGAAGAACAGACCTGGATTGTTGCTGAACCCGGGAAGATTCACCTGCGGTCGTGTACTGCGCCCTACTCTGTTTCTAAATTGAAAAACGGCGAGCTGCATCAACCCCCCCCCAAAGTGTCGAATGGTCGGGCCAAAACGGTGCCCGTACGACGTGTAGAAGCTGGCGAGCTTCGCTTGGAACTATGGGTGGAAGAGGCGCGACAGAAGTTTAATGAACCAGTGGATTCCGAACATCCTCCATGAATTGCATTGCCTGTCTCTTGATGCTTTAATCAGTCTGTCTGCTTAGGGTTCTGTGTCTCATTCCTTACCCTTACGCTTACTTTTCTCCATCTGTGATCTTCCTTTTTCTTTCTTTTCCATTTCATTCTTGAATTAGCGTGACCAATGATCGAACATACATGATGGATGAGGAATAAATATCTGTCGTCCGAAAAGAGTGGCGCAAATACATAAATGGGGCGCGGACGATTTTTGGGACTCGCATGGCATTTACATAGATCTGCTTCAAATCTCTCCTTTCTCTACTGCGCTCTCCCATTTCTCATTTGACTTTCCTCCTTTTCTCGCCCGTCTCTGTCGTCTTCTTCTGACTCTCCTTTTCTGACATCATTATCCCTCTTTGATCACGTTTTTCTTTTTCCTTCCTATCGTTATCTCGATCTTCCATACCAATTTCCTTTTTGTACTTCTCTCATCTCTTCCGTGGAGTTGCCTTATCAGATGATCCTAGCCATTCAAATATCAAGCAAAATAGTCAGTAAAATGTTTTTAGCAACGCCGCCACGATATACCAGACAACCAAGTGCAAGTGTACGGATACGGACCAGTCTACCGACGGGAGTCTTCGGGTATAAAGGATATGCAGTGCATCGGCATTATCCGTCATACCTGACGTGGGGCTCTGATAAGGCAATACCTTACTGTACTGTACACAACAGAGCTTATAAAGTGGTAATGATTTTTATCATTAAGTATCTGGCATTTTCGTCATAGGTACGCTGATTTCTATCAACTGGGGGAACAGAGCAAATATAGGCAGGGGGATGTTAATAGACCGCTGCGCTTGGAGGTAGTAGCTAAGAACAGAATAAGACAAGGGAAAACACCGCGCAGCTGGAAAAAGTAGACGAGGGCAGGCAAGTGCAAAGGGGGTATAGAACTTTTTTTTTTTTTTTTTCAAGGCGAGTCGATTGGAAAATCACAAGTTGTGTAGCAAATGAAGGGTACGGATTGTAAAACGGAAAGGTAGAAGCGAAACAAAAACCAGTGGGGAGTTGAGCAGATAGGCGCTTGTCGCCGTCAACAGAGACGCCCTGGAATCGTTTTGTTCGATTTGGATTTTTCGAAGAAAACTGCGATTAGGTCAACCTTTTCCGAAACAAACAAGAGACTCTTCGATGGGCATGCTCAAAAAGGGAAGAAGTCGTCCTGGTAAGCAGGTAGCGGCTGCTGTCCAATGTATTGGTTGCCATACGGATCCGCGTTCAGGTGATGCGGAGCAGGAGGCATGATGCCTCGCTGACCAGGCGCAAGCATCGGAGCTGGAAAGTATTGAGCATAGGGAGCGTATCCAGCGGGCTGATTCGGTCGCATGGGATCGTCAACGAGGAAAGGATCATTGCGTAGGCCAGTTCCCGCCGGTTGTCCAGCACCGGGTATGTTGGCTGCCAAACCTGCTCCGGCATGAGCACGATGCTCACCGGGAGCGCCAAGATGATGGGGTTGGCCGGCCAGAGGGGTGTTGTTAATCGCATTCGGCACGTCGTAATGTCCAAGTGGAGGATATTGTATAGCATCCAAGAATCCCTGAAATTCGTTATAGACCTGCGCGAAGGGATTCGGTTGCTCCAAGGGACGCTGAGGATTTGCTGCGAGCCGAGCTTGGCGCTGAGCTTGCAGAAGGGCATTGAAGGGCGGATCTCGATGATAGACCCGGTAAGGCCTCGCCCGATCCCTTCTCTGATTTGTGTTATTCGCCTCCGGAAGTTTCACTTGAAGTTCCTCATGGGTGAGACCGGGATTCTCTGCCCGAATCTTCTCGATCGTCTTCCTCTGTGCCTGTTCGACCGCTTTCTGGTCACGCGTGGGATCGTCATCGACGGTACAAGCGTTAGGACCGTAGCCGAAATGAGCGTATTGTTGGTGAGTGATGTCTTTCTTGCACACATAACACATATAGCACCCGCAATTCGAGCACGTCATTTTGTTGCAGCCAAACTCCTTGACGATTTTGACTTTGCATCGAGGGCAATGGCGAATCAGGGCGTCACTCATGGCTTCTTCGACTAGGTGGCGCTCAGAGATACCCCTATCTCTTTTCGCTTCTTCACAAGTTTTGGGTACGTGGGTGACATCCTTGCATAACCGGCAGCTGACAACCTCGCAGCAGGGGTTGCAGCAACGAAACTCCCGATCTTCTTCAACTGGTGGGCAGATGGCCTTGAATTCGCAGAATGGGCAGCTTTCCAGACCGTCGATCCTGGCCCGAGAGATCTCGTCTTGCTGTTGGAGAGCATCCAATTTTGCCATCATCGAAGATCCCAGCACCTCCTTTAGGTCGGAGCGAGGAAAGCTAGCCTGACAACCGCTAGTGTCAAAGCATTGAAGCTGGTACTTCATGAGGCCAATCTGAGTCTCTGCAGACTTGCGGATGCAGGAGAAGCAGAAAAAATGAACATTCTCTCCTTCGCATGTCATGGCTCTGTTTGGAGGAACATCAGAATAGCAGCATTGGCACTCTACCAGCGTCCCCGCTCGGGCGTGCTGCTCTTGATTTCTTCTCTCGGCCTCTTCTTGCCTTTTCTGATCGTGAAGGACCTCTGTATGCACTGGTCAGCAAAAGCGAATGTCATGCTGGCATTGACAGAAAGGCTTACCGGCATCTTTGGCAAGCTTTAGCTTGGCATCTTTCAGTTCCATCTGCAACTCTCCATAGGCCGGATGATTGTATATGTCCAAGCGTATATCCTTGTGTCTGCGGGCTCTTGCCCGTTTCAATTTCTCGTATGGCGGCCGAGTGGGTGCAGGCGCATTTTCTGCAGCTGACAGAGCTTCGCAAGCAGAAAACAGATTTTTCTTCTCCCTAAGCATCTGGCGAATGTAAGAATCCGGTACAAAGGGGAACATGTCTCCGAGTAAATATGTCCTAGAGCAACGTTGTAAGCTTTGGAACAGGTCTCATACGTCGAAGACGTCACAGGAGAATACTTACGCGGCTTCTTGATACCAATACTCCCCGTCGTGTGTTTTAGATGTCCATTTCTTATGTTTGTCATCGTCTTTTGTCTCTTCTCTCTTTCTCTTCAGCTGTTTGCGCTTGGGATATGACGGGCTGGCCAGGATTTCCTCGATCACCAGCTCCTTGTTGGTGTTTTGGATCGCCAGCAAACTTTCAGAGGACACATTCGCTTCGGCGTGAGACAAGTTGCCCGCATGACGAGACAGAAGTTCTTTCAGATATTCGGGGCAGATACCTGGAAAGAGCTCCATAATCTGGGCCGACAATGTGGCTGTATTATGGGAGTCTTGACAGGGAACAGCCGCCATGAGTGTGGCAGGCGCAGCTGCTGTTGGAGTTGGCATAGTACCTGGTGCTGGAAGGAATGGCTCGTCAGTCAAGTCAATGAAATCGGCGTTCTCATCAAGATTGACGGCTCTCCTCTTCGCAGGTCTGGCAGGAGTGGTGTCCTCGTCAGACCAGTCAGAGTCCCAGTCATAGTTCTGTACATCGGAGTCCCAGGAGGAATCGTCGCCAAACTCTGCCAAAGCAGATTCGCTTTTGCTGTCATTGTCGAGGGTATAGTCGTCTTCGGCCTCTGCGGCAACCGAGCCCGTGGAGACCTGCGCCATCTTGGTTCAGGGAAAAGAAGCAAGGAGCGTTCGTAGTTCCAACAGTAGAGCTAGAAGATAGATAAGAAGATTTCTACTTTGCAAGTACGTGTAAATTGTGCTTAGACAGAGAAATGCGAAAGTGTGAAAATGAAGGTAGAGAAGGTGATTGGTGTTGTCGAAGCAAGGGTACGGAGAGAGATGAAGAGAAGAGGATAGGCATGAACACAAAAGATTTTTCCAATAAAGATGGGGGCTGGGCTGAAGGCTGGGAGAAAGGCGTCAACAAGAGATGCGAGCTGGTTTTTCCAAGTTTCATGAGGTCTATAATGGAGGCTGGCAGAAATCAGGACGCTGAAGTGAATACATCAATTGACCTCCATGAAACTGGCTGGTCCTGCAAACTAATTATTATTCATGCTTGGACGACAATAACAATTGTCTATACGAAAGAATATGGAGAGTAGAGAATAGATGTCAAAAGTCCAAAAGAACAATAAAGCACTTGGACATTCGATCAATGGAGATACTGGAGAGAGAATAAGCCTTGAGGCACCAAGGAAAGCCAGCACCTACTGTGTTAGAGCTTCAGGATCAAGGGATCATCATGGTACATCGAGACGAAGATGCAATATCCTTCAAATTGATGCGTACTGCTTGTTGTCAAATTTTCTAAGCTAGACTTTTGCTGTTTGCCTTGTAGTATCATCGCATGATGCGCTTCGATTAGATAGATCAAGCCTGGGGCAAACAATCTCGCTGGTGGGGCGAAGGCTCGAGGGATGATGGACTTGACTTCTGCATCACGTTCAAAGCCCCATGGAGATCCTCTGAATAACTCAGGCAAGCTGGACAGCTCAGTGCCGTCAATATGAAGAGACTTCACAAAGACAGGACCTGTTCAGGCACGAACAACCACTCCTCAAAAGAAAGACAGCCCACCCCACGTGATCCAATGCGGCAGTATGAGACCGCCTGCCAGCTGTTTTAATCCTCCGTGAGACACGACCCATGATCGAACTATGAACGAAAAGGCTCTTCTCTGGTAAAGATCAAAAGTTTTATATCCCTTGCAATGCAAGCATCTAAGTATCTAGCCTACCGGATCCAGGGCTCGAAGCTGGATTCGTGTTCTGGTCGGAAGCTTATCTGCTCTTCCTAATGAGGTCTAGCGGGGTCTTTACCTCGGTTCAGCCTGCCAAGGAAGCTAGTCTGATTAGGAATAGTGTCGTCATTGACAGCTCTCTCCCTTGCGAGCCCCAGCTCGGCCTCGACTACATTTTCTTCATTGTTATGTCATTGAAAAGTATGACAATTTGAAGCATACCAGCAAGTAAAACTGTGAACAATAATCCTAGAATGATAATGATGGGCTCTGCATGTTCCGCTGGAATGCGATCAGAAGGGCGTGTGACTAGGACAAAGAAGAACTAGCGCTGGTCATCAGACCCAGTCCTACCCTGTGCCCTAACCTTCGGAGTACATTGTCTTGTTACTCCTGTATGACTAGGCACATAACTAGGGAGGGGAATTCTCTCCGCATTTCCCCCGTTCCGTTCCAAAGGCCCCATACGTCATGGCCAGGACAGGCAGGTACAGCCTCCAAGCAGAGTGCTTATCGCTTGCCATCGCTTGCCATCGCTTGCCATCGGGATCATGACAAATGGAAACAACATCCATGGGAGTGTAGGACAACGGCCGCCATTTATATATCACCCCCCAGACCGGCCCGGTGCGTAGCTTCCGCCCTCGTTGGCATTGTCTTCCAAACTATTTCAATCGCGTCTGGTCGTCTATCTTATCAGTAACTAGTGCATCGCCGTATGATAACGGACTGGATGGGTCATTACCTAAGGAACAAGCACGGATATAGCTCCCTGTTCGATACCACCTCGGAAACACTTGGGTCTTTTCAATTAATCGCTGTCGGACACAATGATTGCCGCTGACACCACGGAGTTGCCGCCAGGAGATTCGCCTGAGTTGGTTTTGGTCCCTGCCACACCAGAGGAACGGATCAAGTCGATCAAGCTCAACAGTACGGCATGGAAGGGCCGTTTAGACGTCGAGACGTACATCGCAAGAGAAAACCATTTGTATCAGCAGCGATTGACCAAGGAGGGCTTGACCTGCTGGCTTTTGGTTGACCGTAGGGAGCCAGAAGGTCAGCGGCGGATCTTGAGTTCTTGTGAGACATACAAGAAGAAGGCTTTGCTGGCTCACCATGGCAAGGTGGAAGATGTTGCTACCCACGGAGTCGGGAGTGTCTTTTGTCGACCTGAACACAGAGGCAAAGGTTACGCCAAGAGAATGATGCAGGAATTGTGCACGAAACTGGAGACGTGGAAAATGGAAGACGAGCCCAGAAGTAGATCACTCTTCAGCGTGCTGTTTTCGGATATCGGAAAGAACTTTTATGCGCAATTTGGGTGGAAGCCGTTTCCTTCTTCGCACATCTCTCTTCCACCTATCTCCAAGGAAGAATATGACCGGTCCTCACGGGCCAATCTACCGAAGGCGAGAACCTTGGTTGCAGATGACATTCGCAACTGCATGTGTAGCGATCAAGTCCTACAGAAGGAACGAGAATCTCTGCGTGCTGCCTCGGAGAAATCTTCCATCGCCCAAGTAGCAATCCTTCCGGACTTTGACCATTTCGTTTGGCACTGGGCGAGGGAAGAGTTCTATGCAGAGAAGCTTCATGCCGACAGAGCCCCGCCGCTGATCAAGGGCGCTGGTGAGGACAAAGCAAGAGTGTACTGTGCATGGAACAGAAACTTTGGCGAGACACCCCAGGAAAATACCCTGTTCATTTTGCGATGGGTGTATGATGAACCGACCACGCCTGAAGAGATAGAAGCGACAGCAAAGGCCATGGCTGCTATCCTGAGGAGGGCTCAACTTGAGGCTCACGAATGGAATATGGCAAAGGTCGATTTCTGGAATCCAACTCCGTTGTTGCAAAAGGCGGTTGCCATGCTAGATTCCCCAGCAGAGCTGATTCACCGAGAGAGAAGCAGCATCGCCAGCTTGAGGTGGACAGGCGCCGCACAAGGTCTAGGCGAGGAGGTCGAATGGCTCTGGAACGAGAAGTATACCTGGTGCTGAAGGATGTTGGCTTCAACTACATTTCATGTTTTCGCCCTGGGTGGTCATCGTTTCCTTCGGAAGGAATCCGCTAGAGATAGATCTTGGTGCAACCTGACAGGCATAAGAGAGACGTCAATGGAATATAGAATTTGTCTTCAATTTTTCTGTCGTTTTTGGTTTCTGAACAGTTCATGCCAGTTTCGTGACTTTTTGGCCGCCGTTGCAGTAGTGGCATCTGTCGAGATATTCTTCTTGATCTTATGTCTATCGATATTGTTGACGAAGCAGATTGTTGTTTGGTCTGGATGCCTGTAGGAGCTCTCCTGTAGGAAATCAGTACTCTGTAATTACCTTCAAAAAAAAGACAATTAGCTGACTATAACCGGACACTTACCGTCAGTTTAGACAATGCTACCTCATCCCGCCATGAATCAGGAAGATGGTCCTTCCAAGCATTGAGGAACTCGCTTCGCCCAATTGCCGAATCTAGAGCAGGCGCCATAGCCTCTAGATACGTCTCGCCGACCCATCGTGTGCAGCTGGCTTTGTCGATGCTAGCCCCTGCGGGAGTATGTCCATCAGACATTGACCATTTTCCATATCTTCATGGCAGTAACTCACACTTCATGTTCCCGTCAACAAGCCCTTGACCCTGACCATCTCCTGCTTCGCAAACTCTCCTGACAATAGCCTCGAAAAGCGCCCGCGGAAACGGCTCCTCATCCCCATCATCAAGCACCGACTTCCACAGATCCGACACAAGAAACTGCTGGTCGAGATGAATACCCTGTAGCACCGCACCTTCGAGCACCCTCTTCCACACCTTCAGCTTCGCTCCCGCAGAAGGCCGCCGACAACAACCCGCGGCACCCTCGCCCTTATACGCTCGACCAAGCACAAACGCACAGATCTCAATCCAACCGGCTTCACACTGTGCCCGCGAAACAGGGACATCATCAAAAACCCGACGTATGACACCATCCTTCTCCGCCGGCTCTAGATCGAAGCCCACAGCTTCACCCCCTTCACCCCCTTCAC